GCGGAAGCTTTGGCCGTCGCCCGGAAAGTTGTTTCGGGAAGCCCGACGGGCCAGCTCCCGGAAGCTTCGGCCGTCGCCCAGAAAGTTTTCTTGGGAAGCCCGACGGGCCCGACCCCAGCGTCAAAACGACGGGGGCGAGCTTTCGGGCAGCCCGGCGGGCCAGACCCAAGCCCAAACCTTCGACGATTCTTCGCATCGCAAAAAATGGCACGCGACGCGCCCGGGCCGGGTTTCTGCGAACCCTAAACCCTAAAAGGTTTTAGATGTGGGTGGTCAAGGGGTGGGGATGCCGCTTTCGCCGCGCGCCCCCACGACCCCCGGGGTCGAGGGCGCGCTTCATCTTGGAAACCCTAAACCCTAAACCCTAAACCCAACCCCCAAACTTCACCCCCAAACCCCACCCCTTACCCAAATCTTAGCAAAAATGCCAGACCCTTAATATCCAACTCTTATTCCCAAAATTATATCCCAAACTTAAAAATTATAAAAGGACTATCCCAAAATCTTATGACCACATGACAAACCAAACAGCAGTGGTTGTTATGGTGGTGTTGTGGTTGTTGTGGTGTGTGGCTGTTATTGGTTATGATAGTTGTCGTTGTTTGTTGCGGTTGTCTGTTGTGCTGCGCTTTTGTTGTGGTTGTGGTTGGTGTGTGGTTGTTGTCAATGTGGTTAATGTGGTTGATGGTGTGGGTTGTTGTTTTTGTGGCGGTTGTTGTGGTTGTTCTGTGTTGTGGGTTGTGGTTGTTGTTTTGGTTGTGTTGTGTTTTTTGTTGTGCATGGTTGTGTGGTTGGTGTGGTTAAGGTGGTTGATATTTGTGGTTGTTATTATTGTGTTTCCAATCTGCATAGGCTTCCAAGGTCTTAATTGGAAAAATAGATCTGGTCACTGCAAGATGTTACAAATCCACAGGCCCCTGCCATACTCCAACACTGTTAAGCAAATCCACACTTTAAACTTACACTTGCCAACCTGGCATGCTGCAAGCGTTGCAAATCTGCCTGCAGCGTTGGAGATTTAGTCAGGTTGACAGGAATGAAGATCTGTTGCAATCAGTGCAGTGTTGGAGCAGAGTTAGGTTTACAGAGCTGCAGAATTGCAATCTCGGTATAATCTGTATTAGATTGGTTGACTGCCATAAGTTGGGCGCTGCTCTTGGTTGCAACCAATATTGGTCTTTGGCAGATTTGCAAGAATGCTTGGCAACAAATTAAAACTTGCAGAAAGTGTTGGATTTGCATGACAGTGCAGTGTTAGAGGTTGGTAGGGCAATTTTATAGGTCTATTTTGGGATGGTGTGACCAATGCTCTTCATTGCTTTTAACCCCAAAGCCAACTTCCGCGGCTCGCCTGTTCGGCAGGGTCCGTCGGCTTCGAAGCCCTTGAGATTCCAGGGCGAACCCTAAGCCCTAAACCCTGGGGTGGGCAAGTCCACGGCCTATAGATACACATGCAGTGATAAAGGGGCGCCGTGAACGCTATCCAATAGGCATCCCGTTAAAGAGCGCGCGCGTCCCTTCGGCTCACACCCTAAACCCTAAACCCCTATTCTCTACTCTAATATGGAAATTTAAATGCAAATTTCTAAATGGATTTCGTTATTCAAATCCAAGTTCGGGACCAAAAGTGCAAATTTTACCACGCGCTAAACTTACGCGCTTTCTGGGTCGGGTCTCTTAGCCGCGGCTAAGCCGCGGGCACGGCGGAGCCCTGCCGCAATTTCGGTGACCTGGTGGTCGTACGTCCATCTCTAAAGCGGGTAGTCCCGAGCTCGGTGCCTCCCTAGCGCGCGCTTTGCGCTAAGTCGGCGTGCAATCCAAAAGGTTTCTATCCAATTCTCTGTGTTTCCTATAAATTTCTAAATCTATTTTGCTATTCGAGCAGAAATTGCCAAATTTTGCGCGCACTAAACTTGGATCAGGGTCTTATCCGTGCGCGAGCCGCGGGGCGCCCGCCACAACTTCTGTGGCCCAGTAGTCTTGCGGTCATCTCTAAAGCAGGTAGTCCCGGGCCATTTTATCAAGGTCGGCTTTTCAAAATGCAATTACCATTTTATCAAATCCCGATAGCAACTTTATAATAGCTATAGCGGGAAAAGCCAACCCTTAGGTTTAATCCAACCATTATTATGCCGTATAAACAATTTATTAACGGCTCGATTCCCTAACGCACGCTATTTTTCGTAAGCAATGTTTTTCGTAACCGCGCCGTAGCTTTCCTTTTCTAACAATAAAAAAGGTGTATATTTCCATTATGCTTAATCGGTTCTCTAAACACTTTCGCGATCGGACAATCAAAGGCATACTACAACTCAACTAAAACGCGAACTCGAAATCATCATCAAGCCATTAAAGCTACTTCATAAAAAACTTCTCAACGAACCTAATTTCCTAATCCCTTACAAATAAAAACTCATAACTACTCTCTACCCTTACAACATACTACTTACCGCCTACCAATTTGTCTTCTTCGCTATTCGCCGATTTTAGCTTCTTATAAAGCTTCTTAAACATTCTTACACAACTTCTTATAAAACTATTTAAACATTCTTACACAGCTTCTTACAAAGCTTCTTATAAAGCTTCTTATAAAACTCCTTATCTTATAAAAATCCTAATAAAACTCCTTATAAAACTTCTTATAAAGTTTCTTATAAAGCTTCTTATAAAGCTTCTTATAAAACTCCTTATAAAGTTATTAATAAAATTTCTTATAAAGTTTCTTATAAAGCTTCTAAGAAAGCTCCTAAAAAAAATACTTATAAAGCTTCTTATAAAATTTCTTATAAAGCTTCTTATAAAGCTCCTTTCCTTATAAAGCTTCTTATAAAGCTGCTTATAAAGCTCCTTATAAACATCCTTTTCAAGCTTCTTATAAAGCATTCTTACAAAGCTTCTTACAAAGCTTCTTATAAAGCTTCTTATGAAGCTCCTTATAAAGCTTCTTTTAAACCTCCTTTTCAAGATCCTCATCTTCTAATACAGCTTCTTGAAGTTTGCCAATTGCTTTGCAACACTCAAAGAAGTGAGTTGCTGGGACCTGCTGACCCTTCAGCTAGCTCCTGAGAATGCGCATTCAAGTCCTTGGTAGCTCGTGGGTTTGAGTGTGGCTTGTTGCAAGTTGACCTTCTACTTTGATTGAAGCTGGGAGTAGATTGCTTCTTTCAAGTCGAGCCCCTACTTTGCTTGAACCTAAGCCCCCTTGATAAGGAGTTGGGGGTAGATGACCCTAAACCCTAAAAGCTTTAGTGCTGGGCGGCTTCTTGGGGTGGGAAAACCCCGAACGGTGTGTGAGAAGTGATTAATGAGGGGCGCCGTGAAAGGTTGAAGAGAGGCGCCCCGTGAAAGACACTTCTCACACTCCAACAGGTGACACCCTAAACCCTAAACCCTAAACGAAGATTGCGTCAAGCAATCCCCAATAGGCCGAGGAGTATGACACGACGAAGCTTGGCTACGCCCCTTACAGGAAACCTTCGGCTTAGAAAACCGCTGTATCTCCAAGCCCAACACGAACGTACTATAGCCAGCCCTGAGCTGGAACTTCATTGAAAATTTCCGGAGTTTGAAAAACAAACTTTGAAACTCTGGAGTTTTGCCGCTCCAAACCCTAAAGCTCTAGAGTTTCAAGGTTCCAAACCTTGAACCAAACCTTGAACTTTGAAGTTTCGTCTGAAACTTTAAGAGTTTCGGAGTTTTAAGGTTCCAAACTCCAGATGATCTGAGGTTTGGGATCAAAACTTTAGACTCCAAAGTTTCAAGGTATTCTTCCAAACTCCGGAGTTTGGAACCCCAAAACTCTAGAGTTTAGAACCTCGAAACTCCAAAGTCCAGGGCTTGGAACATTGAAGCTCTGGAGTTTTAACCTTGAAACTCTGGAGTTCAGGGTTTAGAAAACCTGGTTGCTCCTGCCAGTAGTCATATGCTTGTCTCAAAGCCGTCCCTAAAAAGGTCTCGGGCTTGATTCGTCCGCCCCTAATCCCTCTCGGTTTAAATCAAGTTTGCTTACGGTTCCGGAGTTCTCGTTTGCAAAAGTTGGGCGGGGGTTTGCCCAAAAAAACCATAAACCCTGAAAGCTTTAAGTCTAGGTGGCCGGGGCGGGCAAAGCCCGCATGGTGTATGTGAGAAGTGAGTGATAAAGGGCGCCGTGAAGATGTTAAATAGGCGCCCCGTTAAAGGCACATCTCACACACTAACGTTTAACACCCTAAGCCCTAACCCAAAACCCTAACAATCTTTACAGGGGCACGCTTAAACATCCTCAAGGACACGCATTAGTATTACCATAAGCGCATACCACTTTCGGCGCACCGGAAGTTAGCACATATCATCTGCGCAGCAAAGAACACCGTCGCGCAGATTCCTGGCTTGGTACATAGTTACATTTATCTTCCTACAACCTCTCGGGCCTGAGAAAATACATTTGTCGTGTATAGCCAGTTACACATCGCTCGAATGCAATCTGTACATCAAAGCCTTGAGCTTACAATACATCCAGAGCAGAAACATCGCTACATGGCCGAGTTGATTACACACAGGTTTGGACATCCGGTATTCAGGTTACATAGTTGCTCCAAACTTAACAATTTGATTTTTGTTATTCATTCAGTCTTTCTTTATTTTACTCATTTATTCGTTAATTTCATTCCACTGACTCACTCACCCACTCACTCATTCATTCATCCAGTCAGTCATTGTTCGTTGATTCGTTCATTCACTCTTTCATTGGTTCCCTCATTCAGTCATTCATTCGTTCATTCATTGATTCATTGATTCATTGATTCATTGATTCATTGATTCATTGATTCATTGATTCATTCATTCATTCATTCATTCATTGGCTCGTTTCTGCATTCAAGCCACTCATTGGCGCAAAGACATGCGGGGCATTTGTGTAGGCTTCACGGAGCTCGGGGCTTTGCGCGTTGCAGCTTGGGCAATCTGCAAGCTCAAAACGCGTCTCGCGACCGGGCCTGGAAGCTTATGAACCTGGGTTCCATGTTTTCACCGGGGGTCATTTTGGACCGCCCGCGGGTCTAAGTATACCTTGGAGTCGAGCAATCGCCCTTCACATATCCAGCGCCCAGCCCAGTCTCTCTACGCCACTTTTGCACCAATCGCGCTGTCCAACTCACCGTCTCTCAGATGAGCTCCACCTGCGGTGGGAACTCCTGGACTGGCCCTTTGATGCCGTGGGCTCCCCCGCCTGAGTTGCCTCGGCCTTCCCGGAGTTGATGTCTATGAGAAACCGGACGGATGCCTTATGCATCTCAACTAAATCACATCTGGCCCATCTGTTCTGGCTGGAAAGACACTAGCGCGCCGAATTGAATGAGACGTATCTGTTGAAGCTCGTCGCAGTCGTCCACACTCTGCGTAAGCTAGCTTACAATGCCATGCCAGATGCGCCAAACGCACACTCAAGTTGAACTCTCCGGAAAGCTGAAGGCGTGCCAACATGGCCAAGGCTGAGGTGTATTTTTGCATAACCCTGGCGATAGCCTAAAGCCAGCCAGCCAACCCAGCCAGCCAGCCAGCCAAACCAACCAACCAACCAAACCAACCAGCCATCCAGCCAGCCAACCAACCTGGGTACTCAAACATCCTTTCCACATGCTAAAAAGAAAAGGATGGTCGGGGAAGGACTCAACACATTGGCTGGCAGCGAACCCCACAGCTGAGCAAGCGGTCATATGTCCAAAGCAATCTCTTAGGAAGTGTGCATGGATATCAGCATAGCGCACGCCTCATGGCTAGTGTGGCCAGTGTAAAGTAGTTCAATGGAATGAATGTGTACAAAGTATGCGGCAGTTGCACCAGAAACACTCAAAGCTCACAGCCAGCGATTTGTGACTTGCGCTTTATTTGACAGCGCCATCTCGCGCATGTGTCTGTGGCCTGCGCTCCTTCCGTGAATCTCCCCGCCAGGTGTCGGTTGGACTTGGTGCCGATGAACCTCAACTTCGCTTCTCAAACCGACCCGATGCAACGGTGACACAACACTTGTCGAAGACTTTGACATAAGACCGACTCACTGAATTTTGTCGAATCCAAGGAGCAAGTCTCCGGCAAAGGCAGGGGAGTTCACGAAGCCCCAGTCGCCTTTGAAGCTCCTACAGCCATGATAGCATTGCAGAGCATGGGAAAACACTTAAGATGTGGCCTGATGGTGCCTGTCAGCATCTGCCCCTCCTCGCGAAGCGCACGCCAAACGCATCCCAACGTCGTGTCACAGGGCCCCACCAAGCGCCTGACCAAACCGTTTACGGCTAAACTCCTGCGCAGGTGTGCACTTTTGTAACCACCAGAAGATGGAGTTCAATGAAGAATCCAATGCTCGGCAACTCACATCGGCAAAATGTTGCTGGTCCATCCGGTCCCTATCTCCTTGGCCGACGCGTTTGCAGGCGTGGAGATCTGCTTCGTCCTGCGGCTCAAGGAGTGATTTGCAACCGGAGGCAACCGGAGGCAACCGGAGGCACCCTCCGGAGGCTTGACGACGCAGACTTGGCAGTGGCAGCACCTGCACCACGCAGGCTCATCCAGGCTCCCAGGTTCGCTGAAGGTCCTGGCCGAACTAAGAACCTCAGACTGAAAACCATGACTTAAGCGCATGCAAAGGCCTGAGGTTCAGGCTCTCACCTTCACTGCCTGAGAGCGAATTGATGAACAGCTCCATCTTTTGCCCTGCCTCAAAAGCTTCTTTGCCCTTCTCTCTGAACACCTCGGCATTTCAAGCGGCGGTGAGTACATCCTCCCTCCGCGCGCCTCAAACTCCACGATGTCGCCAGCCAGAAGACCGCCCGAGATGTGTGGATTGCCTGTCATTGCTTCAGCTCAGTGGCCAAGTGTGACTTCCGCGGGCACGACTTCGGGTGCCAACGAAGAGGTCGCCCTCAAACCTGGCAAATGTTTCACATCCCATCCGTGCACATCCCACATCCCAAACCAGGCAGAGAGGCTGCGGAGACACAATGAAACCCCACCTTGAGTGAACCCCTTAACGCTGCGTCACAGCTCGACGCACTGAATGTAAAATGTAAAATGTGCGTGCGGTCGAACAGAGTCCCAGTGGAACGCAAACGATGTCGTGTCTGTCCAGGCGCTCGCCGCTGAACTTCTTCACAGTGCCACTGCAAAGCTGACCTTGCCACGGTCACAAACCAAGCAAACATATGTGATTGCGCAGATTTGCACCTGTCCACCGAGAAAAAGACGTGGCCTGGACTGCCAATGACGCACGTTGCAACATGTTAACACAGCTCTACGGGGAGGTTTTCGCCCCGCCGCCGCACAAAATGTGCGGTGTGTGTGTGTCCAGTACAGGGACAGCATGCAGGACTTGCTTCCGATAGTGAACTGAAGTTCAGTGTGCATTTCGCTGCGCATATGTAGACAGCAATGCACAATGCTCCCTGCTTGAGTCTTCTGGGAAGCCAACGTGTTTGCTCTTGATGCGTACGTTAAAAGAATATTGTGTCAAACGGACATGGACCCCCCAAATCTTCAGCTTTTCGTGGTCACCGCTGATCGAGAGGGACTTTTGGTTGGCTACATCGATCACAGCACTCGTTAGTTTGCTTGTTTGCGCAAGCTTGCAACTTTGCTGTTCCACATCTAGCGGGGCAAGCCTGGACGTGGTGAACATCGTGCTGTTCCTGTCAAGTCTTAGCACCGTCCCGCCACTGCAGTTCGGAGATGCATGCAAGTTGCAGCTGTCTTGTTAAATGTGGTCACAGCACAAAGTCCGAGACAGTGCGCAACTCAGTTTTTCCGTGTTCTTACAACCTCAATCCCCCCGGGTCAGAAAAGTTTCTAGTGGCGCCCGCGCCGCTTGCGGAAGGACCGGCCCCCCTTACCAGATTTGATGGGGTCGTTCTTGTTAGTCATCGGCGATGTTAGTGCAGCGTTTGCAGCTTCTACGCACGATGAGCGGCGGGCAATGGTCTTCGAATCCCGCAAGTGGTGCAACCAGAGCAATGTGCAGGAAAGCTGCATGTTGCGTATGTTCACCACGGTAATCCTAAAACCAAGCATCGGTTACACTCACATCCAGAGAACTCTGTTGCCGGCTTCGCGATTTGTCATTCAGTGGCTGGCTTGCGGCAGTTTTCTCGCGTTAACCCTTCAGCGCAAGCGCCTCCCCGGTGGAAGGGTCCATGTATACTGAGTCGGGCGCGCCCGCGTGACTCATATGACCGCGGAAGGATTTCCACCTGTTGCTCTTCTAATTATATCATCATTCCATATACTCTCACGGGGCGGGTTACTGTTGGGGAATTCCAAACCCATTTCTTATAAGTCTCTAACTCTTCAAACTATTCCTGAATGTACGCGCGCTCTCTAGATCTTCAGACGCAGTTTCGAATTTCGCGCAGCGATTATAATTGTCTTGTTTCAGCAAGGAACTGGAGCCCTTTGGATCATTCCAGAGCCATGCTTGTTCTGATTGTTCTACTTCTCATAACTACTATAAAAAACTATAATCATTTTATTTCCGCCCAAAGCGGGGTATTCTTGGAGGAATTCAATATTCAAACTGTTCTAATTTTTCTTTGCGTTCTCAAAACTCTAACTATTCTAGTTATTTTCAAGTGGCCGGGCACCTTGTGGGTCCAGATTCATTTCGCGCTCTCAGGATTATTCGTCTTCCCAAAACCCAGACTCACTGCTCTAATTAAAAGAATTGTTCCAACTTGCCTAATTGACCGATTCAACAAAGGGTTGGGTCTTGTTTGGGGTTTTCCAAGTTATGCTCTTCTGAATAATTCTGGTCGTGCTGATTATTCCCAAAAGGACGCGTGCCTTTGAGGAAAACCCCCACTCATTCTTGCTAGTTGATCTACTTACTATGAGAGTTGGAACTAAGTACACAGCAGAATTAAAACAGGTTTCCCCACTACTAAATAGTGCGAAAGAGACGGGTGCCTTTTGCGTAGTTCCAGACCAAAGAGACCAGCACCCTTCGGGAAAATCCAAATTCAATTTCTGCTGTTGTCATTCTACTTTTTGATTATTCCAAAAGGAACGGGCGGGGTGCCTTTTAAGGGTGTCAAGATTCGTGTTTGCCACGCGCAAGTGTCAATTCCCAGATAGGGAAGGGGCTCTGTGGGAAGCGTTTAAATCATATGAGGATTGGAGCGGGTTGTTGCTTCTTGCTAGTTAAAATTTGAACCATTTTAACAACCGTCTTGAGATTCTCATTGTTTCGTTCATTTCATTTGTTGTTCCCGCAGGGGAGAGTGCCTTTGGAGGAAGTACGCATAATCGTGTCTAACTATTCTAGTCAGTAGACTATTTCTAACAAAATAGACACATTAAACAACATAGACCCAATCACCCATTTGTTTTTCTAGCCACCCAAGGTCCTCGAATTGTTCTTACAGGGGCGCGCACCAGTTCCTGTAGTTCTTCAAATTAATCCAATTATTTCCAAGGGAGGGGTCCCAGATGCATGTTTCAAATTATTCTAATCACATGTTCCAAAAGAGGCAGGCGCTGGCTGGTGGAGTTCCCGATTCAACTGCCTTCTAGTTAGCAACTTCTTCCAGTCGATTCGAATAACTATGATAAGAGGACAGGCAGGGCTATGTTTTGCTGATAGTTCTGAATATTGTAGTTGTTCGCACAGGATCAGATGCCTTCTTGCGAAAACAGATTTCTGTTTGCTCCAAATTATTATGGGTAGTTTCATTCCTCTAACTATTCCCAAAGGGACGGGCACCTTTTGAATAATTCCAGATTCACGCCTGCGCGAATTTTTCTAACTCTCTAATTATTATTCTAAATACTCCCAAAGCGGCGGGTGCCTTTTGAGGAGTTCTATTCGAGTACTTCTGATTAACACGAATAAATACAACCAGATGGCAACACGTAGCCCTATTTGTTGTTTCTTGTCGATTAAAGACTGAGTCAGTTGAACAACCGCCTTGTGTTTCCCATTTGTTCCTACAGGGGTTGGGGAAGTACGCTTTCATCGTAACAAAGTAGAAACATTAAACAACATAGGCCAAACCGCACCAATTGTTTTTCTAGCAATTCGAGTTAATTGTTCCCACAGGGACGAGTGCCTTCTCAGGAAAACCACATCATTTTGTGTGCAAGTTATTCTAAGTATTCCATGCAAGACTCATGTTTCAAACTACTCTGAAAATGTGTTTTCAAAGGGCAGGTGCCTGTTGGGGCAATTCCCGCTTTCCATTAGCTACTTCTTCCAATTGATTCGAATAACTGAAATAATAGGAGAACAGACACGGCTATGTGTTGCTAAGACTGCTTTAAAAAGCATACCTGTCCCCAGCGGGACAGGTGTGTTTGATTGAACTCCAAAAAAATGTTTGCAGCAATGATCCTGAACAGTTTCATTGCGCTATCAATTTTCCAAGGGACGGGCGCCTTTTGAAGAGTTCCAGGTTCATGTTTGTGCAAATTATTCTTACTCCTTAATTTTCTGATTATTCCCAAAGGAGCAAGTGTCTTTTCAGGATTTCAAGATTCATCTTGCCAAGCATTCCACGCGTCACAATTCTAGACCTAATGATTCTCACAGGGTCGCGTAATCAATTTAATTGGAGGAATTCCGAATGAATGGCTCCCTTGTGGAAATCCGTCTGAACGCATGTTCCAATCTCAGACTAACCAAAGCGCGGCGCCTTTCGGGGAGTTCAAGACGTTCGTTCCTCGTGACAGCGCAAAACGCCCTTCTTTAAATACTAAAGACTTTTAGAACCAGTATATAATAAATTATTTATGTGTGCTACAAAGTGAGGTGTTTTTGGAGTTCCTCAAGGGACGGGCGCCTTTTAGCGAATTCCCGATTCGCTGGTTGTCTAATATCACATTTCAAAATAAGTAGAACAAATAGAGTAGGTATCGAAAAGATAAGGCTGTGTCTCTCAAATTATTCTAACCACTCCATTCTACGTTGCTGGAAAATGACAGGTTCATGGTTGAGTTAGTTATCACTTGGTGCTGGTAAATATTTCCTTGTTGGGGAATGCCAGAGTCATGCTTCTTCTAACTAGTATAACTATTCTTGCAATTCTAATTGCTGGGCGCCTTTTGCGTGAATTCCTCCATAATCTACTTCTTTCCAAACGGAAGGGTGTGTTTTTGGGAACTCCAAGATCGTTTTTCCCTCTAAGTATCTTCGTTCCAAGACGGATGGGTGCCTTTTGGGAAACTGCAAGTTCATGTTTCCCGCTCATTGTGGAAATTATACCCGGCCCCCTTTGGCGGAGTTGCAGGAAAAAGTTTTGAAACAGGACCCGGGTCTTTAGTTCACGTCGCAAAACCAGCTTGGAAAAGCTGGATTCGTAACGCAGAGGATCCTACGATGCTAGTTATCCTCACAGTCATCGTCCTGGTCATCCTCATGATGGTTGCCATCGCAGTCATCACCCACATTATCGTCATCATGTGTGTCATCATCATCCCTCATCGTAATCCTGATGGTCATCATCACCTTTATCATCATCAGCTTGACGGTCATCATCATCTCTTGCTTCAACAAGTTGTCATGGCAGTCCTGCCTTTACCGTTGTCATCCTCACGACCATCATCATCTCTTATGAGGCAGCATTGGTAATGCAAAGGGCGCTACGATGATAGTTTATCATCCAACTATCATCACAGCCATCATCCGTATCACCCTCACGATGTCGTCACCCTGATCATCTTCATCATGACTGTCATCATCATCACCGTTCCCATCATCATCATGACGGTCATCATCACCCCTCATCATCATCATGATCATCATCATCTATCATCATCTCATTCTTCTATACAATCCAATTGTGGCGTTAGGCAGCATGGGTAGTTCTCATCACCATGATGAGCACGACCATCATCATCTCTTCTTCGGCAGCATTGGTCTTGCAAAGGATGCTACGCCAAGGCGTGGCGCTCGGCTCCATTCAAGGGATGCTACGATGATAGTGGTCAAGGCACTGCCGGAGACGCAGAGGATGTCGCGATGATAGTTGCCATCATCTTCCTCATTCATCATCACCGTTGTCATCATCATCATCGTCATCATCATCCACTGTTGGAGATGCAGGGGGTGCTGCGATGATACTTATCATCGTCACCGATGGAGATGCAGCGGATGCACGATGATACTTTTCATCATCTTCCTCATAGTCGTCATCCTCATCATCACCGCTATCATCATCATCATCATCAGCATGCTCAGCATCCCTGCAAGAGATGCTGGGCATGCATCGTGATAGTTGTCATCGCCCGATTTGAGATGCAGAAGATGCGTGTTCGTGTGATTATCATCACGACTGTTAGTGACGCTGAGGGTGCATAGTGATGATTTTCATCCGTTTGAGATCCACAAGATGTGTGGGCATGATTATCCTCATGACTGCTGGTGATGAGAGGATGCTGCGATGATACTTGTGATGACGCGGCTGGAAATCAAAAGGGCCGTTAGACACCACCTGCAACGCAACGGATGCTACGATGATAGTTATCCGGGCCCTGCTGGAGATGCAGAGGATGTTGCGATGATACTTGTGATGGCACTGTAGGAGATGCAGGGGGTGCTGCGATGATACTTGTCATCGTCCTCGTTGGCGACGCAGCGGATGCTGGGATGATACTTTTTACCATCTTCCTCATGGTCAGTGCCCTTGTCTTGCAAATGTTTTTTGCAAAGTGCGGGGCGTGCAGATATCCAGTGCGAGGATGCAGATGCTATCTGGCGCGCACCGGTAATGTTCCAGCACTTTGCATTTACTTTTGCCTCGGAACACTTGCAAGAAGCTGCTATCCGTCCTGAAGTTGTGCAAGAGTTGCGGTAGCGGCCTGAGACAAACATCCATTGACGGACGTTTATCAGGATGGAGCATCATTGCATGTGTTGAGACAGTTGCGAGTGCCATGCCTGTGCTCAGGAGATACCAGACCACCTGCATGCCCTCTTGCCTTGGGTCAGACTAGGGCACAAACTGTCGCGCGTGCAGAGTTGCAAGCGCTAGTTGCGCTTGAAGGCCACCGCTGTCTATACGGACTGGTGCCTATGGGAATGGGTTCGCAAGTGTGACCCTCCACTTGCCATTGCCAAACACGCTAACGAGGACCTTGTAGGTCGGCTTGGTTGCCACCAGACGTGGGCAGCAGGTCCGCAAGGTCAAAGCTCACCAGAATCTCGCCCTGATCCATGATCCTGCACAGCTTTTTGTCCATCTCGGCAACAACATTGCTGATGAGGCTGCTAAAGCAGCGATCACACAAATTGATGAGCAGATCAGGCAAGCCTCACGCAGCATTGCCAAAGATGAAACGGAAGGCAAACAGGAGTTGAACCTCATCCTGAACTACTCTGCGCAGGTCGTAATTGAATATGCCAAACGTCTCAAGGTTGCAGAAGGTGCCGCCGAACGTATCCAGGCATGTATAGATTGGGCACCGGCGCCAGTTAGTCATATCGTTGTCCCGTTGACCCCGCGCTTGCTGACTGCTTCACGTGGGGAACTGCATTTTACACCTCAATCACACGATGGCTAGCTATGCTGGCCTGGCCAGACTGTGAACAGCCAGATGACCCGGGGATATCGCTCCTTGAGCTCCTTGTAAATTGGCTTGTTTGTTCCGGAATGGAACTCCCTGTACTCGTGCCTATAGGTTCTGATGCCCCAGCAAAACTTGCTAAAGATGCATATAGTATCCGAACCTCTGCACAGGACCTTGGTGTTCTGCTACTGCCTTTTTCCTGGAGCCGTGCAGTCATTGCTTGTGAGAATGCGCTTCGCACCCTCCAGCGCTGGAGTGAGGTGCAAGTTACGCCCTGGCCCCTCAAGAGTAAAGTGCGATCCTTGATACACTTTGGCGCCTTGCAAAAATCCAGTGGATTCTGCAGGCGGCGGCCACGATTGCCGATGCAAGCTGAAACGACTGCAGCCATCATTACAGGCTATGCTGGAGGACGCGAATTCACCTTGCCTCGGATGTGGATCCAGGAAAACAACTTACCCCGTGTCGTTCAGGTTGCCATGCTGCCCGAAGAAGTTCATGAGGGTCGGACGACCCATCGAAGCCGAGCCAAGTGGAGAGCTGACAGACATGTAGGTGCCTTGCACTGTTTGCAAAGGCACGCCTCTGAGTTGCATAACTGGAGGTAACATCAGATGCCACCGTGGCCATTCTTTATATTCCTTCCACTTGACTCTCGCCTCGCTCCCCGGAGGTTACTCGGCTGTACCAGTGGCATTTCTAACCAATTCCTCGATTTCCGACTGTGGGCTTCACATGAGCATGGTGCACTTTGGGATCAATAGTGTCTTGACCGCTAGTTGCTGCCATCCACTTGGCCCTTCTTTGGCCGCTTGAACAGAACGCCGGTGACATCTTGCTGACTTCTGTACACATATTTTGGTGGATCGTGGCCTTTGATTCTTGTAGAATGTGCTCCCTGTTTGCAAATTATGTCATGTGCTTGCATACCACTTGATGTGTGATGGCATCGCTCAGATGTCGATCACCAGTGCCGAAAAGCAGGGTACTACCCAACATGGATCTGTTTCTATGGTTGAGGACTTCTATGCTCTGAGCTTGTGTCAATTTAGGCAGTTTTTGTAGGTCACATGATGTGTAGGCATGTGACCCACAGGGAGTTGGCTACCAGTGGTGGTGAACGTACCTCGCTTTGTGCCATGCGCTGGCGTTTCGCGTCAATCCTGACTTGCACTTTGCTCCGATGCCGACTGCTATGCGATTGAATTGTATGAGGTCTCCGAATGTTTATGTCACCTGAGACGATGTCCGAGGGTACATTCCGCTTGTAATGCATTGTTTCGACTCTGATCACGCCTTTGCACCATGTACGGCTCTTTTACATGGAGGTGCTGGAGCATGCCGCAGTGCTAGACGACTCTTGGGCAAACATATCTGGGACACTCAATGCCACTGCATTGCGAACTTGATCTGCTATCTTCAGGCACGTGTTGTACGGATGATGTTCATGGAAAAATGCTTGGAGTCCTGCGCTGGCTGACGATTTTCATGTTTCAGCATTTGGTGGCCATATTGGTTTATTTTGCATTTGCTTGTCTTTTCGAGCGGACCCTAGACTGCAGTGCGCCGACCCACTCGTTGGCAGTGCTTAAAAGAAGCAATGTTTCCTGCTGGGTGACTCGCCTTTTCTCTCTATTTGAAACGCAGAATGATATACGTGTGCTAGCATGCCCGAGGGTAAATTCCGCGAGCACAGATGCGGTATCCCCAGTACGGCGTGTCTTTACTACTTGTTCTTGGGATGTGCAAGGCGCGCCTGGATCGGTTGGCCTCTGCACTGCTGGGGGTCTGGCCACGAAACAAGAGTGGGGACAAACAATGGTATCATTGTCCTGATTCTTCAAAAGCCATGACATGACTGGCCATCAACTTGAGTGCCAGCCACTTTCACCCCAACTCCATTCTAGATCCCAAAACCTGATCCTTCCAACCGGCATATAAAGTTAAAGCCTCTGAGAAGCCAGCAGCCTGCTGTGTGGCGGGGCGCTCCTCTGGTTTCTCTGCGGCGTTTGGGGCCTTTTCCGTCTTTTCCTTTTCCGTCATTGCATGACGGGTAACCCGTTCGTCTGCCCCTTTCTTTCCTCTCTTTCGTTCAATGTGGCCAGTCCGTCTGCGCCGCTCCTTCGAAAGCGCGAGAAACTGCCTCGTCGGTGATGCCCTTTTTGCCTTTTCATTTTCCCTTTCTTCTTCCTGATTTTAAGTTCCGCTCTAACACATTGCGGGCTGCGAATGTGTCATGATCTTCGAGGACCCATAATGTCTCCTCATCTTCTGTTCCCATGAAACCTTCATTTCCATTTTCGTCTTTATCATTGCTCTAGGATGTTGAAGATGTTCTGTCGAGAACCTCCTGCTGGGCGAAGTGTTCGATCTTGAGTCGAGTTTCTGGTTGTGATGAAGCGGTCCTGACACTGTGTCTCCAGCGTCTCATATGTGTAATTTTTCAAATGGATGTTCCTCAAAGACATTGCGCTCATCAGTCTTGCTCTCTGCTGATCTGACAGTTCGCTCTGAGTCATGAAAAACTCTGCAACGAGGCTATCAGTGAGATCGGTGTCTCTGTTGCATTCCATTGACACACTGTCTCAAAGTTTTCAAAATTTCAAGTGGATTGCGCCGTGATGACGGGCATCAAATCATTCTGTGCTGCCTTCAGCCGGCGTAGCAAGACCTCAAATTTCGAAAGGAAGATGAGAAACTCTGGAATTTGTGTCTGTGATTGAAGATTCTGCTGCTTCAACGTGTTCTTGAAGTAGCTGACTCCTTCTCGACGCAGGGGCGCGTCTCCCATGAGTCGGCTCTTGAAGGGAGGTCCCCAACGCTCTGATTCCACGGTGGTAAAGGAGGGCCAATCATCAAAAAGTTCCGCATATCGAAATGCTTCGCGATCATCGTGTCTCTTCACGATCATCGTGTCTCTTCAGTACTGCCGATAGGCCGGCGTGCGCTGGCATAAGCTTCCATGAAGCGTTCTCCATCTGATGACATCATGATGATTCTTGTCGGAAAAACCTGCTCCGGGATCTGGTTTGTAAGGAGAAGATACCCGGTGTGGTAGCAGTCCCTATGGCCCTGGATCTGTTTCTCAACGAGAATCTGATAACCTGATGGTTGAGGAAATGCCTCTGGTCAACATAACGTATGAATAAGTGCTGAAGCGAGCGCAGGGAGGTCTTTTTTCTATGGCGAGTATGAAGCCCTATGATAGGAAAAGGGGGCCTTGAGCCCAAATGTGATACAACTGATACAGCTGCACGGTGCATTTAGACAACATTTCGATATGAGACAAACACGTCTGCCATACCTCCCAGGTTGCAAACTGGCGTTGGGCCTGCGACTGCAGCTTCACGTTGGTTGCGTGTGGCTTGCCCAGAGCTGTGCCCAGCTTGCCCTGGAGTTGCACCACAAACTCCACGGGGTCACCTCTGCTGGCAATGGCTACAACTTGCTGCCATTGCGTCACAGATTCACACCTGGTTGTAGCCTTGGGAGGCCAGGGTTGGAGCCCTCGTGTAGGAACAGGTCCCCTACGAAGGCGTCGGAGTTCACCTCAGCCGGTATGAGAGAAAGGAGAAACGCGGCTGGCGGCTTGGGCCCTGGCAAAGCCCCAGCCGTCCCGGAAGCTCTTGACCACACCAGCGCAGACTTCTCCCACCAACTCAGGCAACTCGCGCGCCTCTTGCCTGGCCCCATCCTCCGGCTGCCCTGCAATTGGCCTGAGTACGTGCGAGCGGCGCCCCGCCATTTGTGCCACGCAAGCCTGGCAACGCCCGGCGGAATGTCCACCTTGCGCAAACAAGAGCCCCGGACCCCCAAATGCAGAGGAACACAAGCGCTGGCGCAAGGCCGCGGCAGAAGTATCAGATTGCACCTCTGTGGCCTGAACCAAGCTTGTTTGCCGCCCCAAAGCGCTCAAACCCCAACAGCCCAACAACATCCAACCAATCAGCCCAACTCCTTTCAAATGCGCTCTTTTTCAGTGTGATGCCACGGAAAACGCATTTTCGCACCTGGAACTTTCCAGCTCGCTCATCACGGTTGACTAAGAATGTCACACCTGCCACGTGGGTGTCCGAACTTGGAACCTCCAGAGTTGATTGTGTCAGGTCTCCTCTGCCCGCCCAAGCCTCACTAGAAATGAGCGCCCCGAATTGCAACAGTTAGCTGCTGGGGGCATCAAGCAAGATGAGAGGGCTGAGCGCCAAGAGCGCTAGCCCAAAAGTGGCTGAACAAAAGCGGGCGCAGCGCTGGCTTGGCCTTCGCCCGGCACTAGAGGCATCTTGAGCTGCGGGTTTCTCCCCAGCCTGCGATTCTGTGGATCTTTTGGTGCGCGGATGATACGCCGCGCGCAACCTGTGCAAAGCGTTAGGTGGATGGCCCGACAAAGAGGTCGCCATCGAAGTGCGAGGACTGGATCAAGCCCCAATTGCCTTTGAAGCTCTTCACCTGAATCTTCTGAAGCTCACTTGTCTCGTTCATGTCTCGTTCCTTGTTCCCTCAACCTGAGCTCCCGACCCAACCAGACCTAAGCGAAGATCTGCGAAGCAAACACGCGGAAAGACGACGGCGCGAAGCACCAGTTGCAGTTGACTCGCCTCTAAAGCCCCCGCAAGTGTCGCCCGTGCAAATCACTCAGCGTGCTTTTGGGCACCGTGGCACTGTCCTCACTGACGCGCCAGGTTCGCTCTATGCCACGTTGATACCCTGACACAGTCTCGGAGTCTCGGGCCAAAATTCCAAAGTCTCTTAGTTCACGTGTCAGAGCAGAGTTGCCGGCAGCGTGGCATTGGTCGCCGTCTTCCGCAACCTCAAGAAGCAGGCCAAGCGGCCAAGCCTTTGTTGACACCCCCCAAATCAGAAGGCTCCTGGAAATTGACGGGATCGCCCGCGAGAATTGGCTCAAGGTCCGGGTTGCGTCCTGAGGCCAGAAGAAAATTCTGACGCTACATTTAGCAAGTTGAACCCTAAGACCTAAGACTGCCACTGGAACCAAAAGTCAAGTGTTCGGGTTAAGGCGGGCGCCCCAAGAGTCCCTGAAGCGGACATTCCCCGCAAACCTGGAGAGCTCTCCCCCAGCCCAAGTCTCCCGAGACACGCGCTCTCCCCCACCTCTGGCCAACGAGGTGCGTCACCTCAGCTCTCCATCCATCCAACTCCCGACGTCTCTCCATCCAACTTTGCCGGCTCTCCGAGAGCCTTTGCTCCGAGAGCACTGGCTTGCGCATCGCGCGTCGAGCTGCCCGCCTGCGCCATTGGCCTTGCCGTCAGCACCTCCTCCCTTCTCTCATTCCTCACGCAAAGGACTTCACATTTCAAGTCCTCTTTGCGATCAGTGTCTGTTACCTTCTGTTACCTTCCGTCAGGGGTCGGTTTCGTGGAGTCCCTTGCAACCCTTCAGCCCTTGAGACTTGAGGCCCGGAATCAACATTGGCCCGCGTCGATCAACAAATGCATTGACCTATCTGCGTGAAAGGCTAAATTGCTATGCTTGCAGGCCTCACACTACCTGCAGCCTAAAGCTGGGCTGCTGGCAATCTGACAAGTTGCACCTGCAACGCGCAGTCCCCAAGCCCTCGCCATCACCACCCCTTGCCATCTCAAATGGCATGCCTCAGTGGCCTCCAACTTGCCGTCCACCTCGGCCACTGCGAAGTCCACCTGCGAGCAACCAAATGCAACCCGCTTGTCACCGGGCTTCCGTCTCATGCTTCATGCTTTATCATGCTTATCATGCTTTCCATTGCTTTCTCATGCTTCATGCTTTCTCATACTTCGGAGGCTCGAAGGTGTTGGTCTTCGAAAACCTGGGTGAGGCGTCAGTTCCAGTAAACTCGCACACCTGCTGCCTGTCAAGCGCTGACAAACTGGCCTGGCATCCGGTGGAAACACGCAATGTGCCACCCTCCAAGGTGCTGAAGGCAGAGTTTCCCGAGCGCAATGACATTTGCTAGCTCCACGTCTTGGCAAATGGCTTGCAGGATCTTGCAGGCTTGCAATTTGATTTGTCTGATCTGACCTTGCTTTCCTTTGGAGAGCTGAGTTGAAAGCGCACACCTTCAGTGTTGCGGACACGGTATGACACGGTGTCACACCTTCGGGCAATCTGAAATGAAACCGTTGCACGCCGCACGGGGTATCACGCTGTGCTTGCAAGATTGGATCTGTTCAGTGCGCTGTGCAAGATCCCGAAGACTTTCGAGGACATCGGCCTGGAAGGCAAGTTCCTTCAAGCAACAGCCGGATTACCGGGCTGCTTTTTGGGTGGTGCAGAGCCCAGAGCCGTGAGAACTGCGACGCCAAGATTGAGTGGAATGCAGAAACAGCAACAGGAAGCTGCTCCCACATTTTTGCATTAGCCAAGGCTGGCCAACAACGTGTAGTCGCTGATCCGAAGTGCTGGCTTGGAGCAGTCTTCAGTTGTGGCTTGCCGCGCAAAAACTACAACGCATTTTTCAAAATACAGATTGTACTCTTTTCGGTCTTCAATTACAAGAAGCATCATCTGTAGGGACAGGTCGTCACTTGCCAGAAAAAGGAAGTAAAATCCTGGAAGGCGGTGGAGCTTCTTCCCACTCTGAGCTCCTTGTCCTGCTCCGTCTACGCCTTCAGCTTCACAAACCTTCCTCGCCCGAGCTCGGTCATGTAGTGAGACCTTCGCCTTCTCCCAGGTTTGGGCACTTTGGGCTTGTCCGCTTGTCCGCTTGTCCGCTTTTCCGCTGCCTCAAACCGGGGCTTACACGGGCCTGGCTCACAGAGACAGATTCGTGTCTTTCTCGATCGAAAGACCGCGACGCGAATTCCGCGAAGCCGGCCTCATCCCCTGGCGCCAGGCCAGACAGCTGCGGGTTTCGGCGCAGGCCCACAAAGAGGTCACCTACACAAGGAACTGGCAAAGGAACAGTTTGTTAGAGTTGTAGTGTTTTGGAAGTGTTTTTAGGAAGTGTCAAGCTTGAGCCTGAGAACTCCGGGGAGTTGATGAAGCCCCACCTCGCTTTCGGCTCTCATGCGAGCGCCGCGCAAGGGACGCGCGTGGGGCGCAGGCTGCCCAGAAAAGCTCCGCACCCGACCTCGCTTGACCTGGACCGCGACATTTTCAGCGTGACGCAGGAATGTAGCGAAACACATTGAACGATATTGACAAAATTGCCAATATTGACACACCGCATTGGCCGCACGACGCAAGGGCGACTAAGACTGGGGCCCTGTGAGAGGAATCATTTGCGACACCCGGTCGTTTCATCCCAATGCCCGCGATACTTACTTGCAATATGTTCCTTTTCTTTTCTTTTCTTTTTCCTTTCCTTTTTCCTTTAGGTACCTGGGGATTTCTTTACTGCGAGTCACGATTGAGCTTTATCCTGGGGGAAGGCGCACTCAAAGTTCGACATTGGGCAAACACGAGACCCATCACAGCATTCGGCAGCCCAGCCCTTGAGACAACGGCCAAGACGCTTCGAGTGAAGCGTGTGAGGGTTGCCACAGGGACGCAACTGCAGGAATACCGCACTGCACCATCGACTGGAATCATCGCAAAGCCTTTCCCAGAGACCTGCTCCGGCGCAAATGTGGCCAGGACTTGTGCCCAGCATCCGTCACATTCCGATGCCAAACACCTTCGCAAGGCGCAATCCGCGCAGCACAACAGTGAGGCTTTGCATATGCCGCCTGAACAACGCATATCAGCGCTTTGTTTTCCCACCTCAGCTTGCGTTGTGCAAAAGCCAGTATATTGCAGATCGACTCGCTCAGTAATTCCAAGTAATTCCGAAATGACATGATATTCCCGATGTCACGCTTATTTCTGCACACGGTCGCTAGTTGCATGCCCCGTTCTCATTTTCACATGTCACCCTGACCCCTGTCGAGAGCTCAAGTCAGCTGACCTTCTCTTGCAGGGATGACCAGACCACTTCACTTGCCCCTATCACTTAGAGATGCGGAGGATTTTGCAGCTCGGCATGCGTTGCGTGGAATTCGAAAACTGAAGCTTCACCACTCCTTGCTACGGGCAACAAATATGACATGTCAAACACCATCCACCGATCAAGGTGCACCCTGGTCTGCCGTTTGTCATTGCCCATTCCGTCACCAAGGCCTCTACCACTCTGAAGTCGAGTGAAGTCAAACGTTAGGATTCTGCAGATTCACGATCGTTCACGATATGGGTTGCGTTGTTGCGGGCCTCAAGGCCTCGCAAATTTGAATCTGAACGTGCCCCGGCCTGTACGTCGTTGCGGCGTCAGACTCCGGGTCCCAGAAGGTGGAGGAACTGCAAAACTGACTCACGCCCGACTCCGACTCCGACGCAAACGTGCCTTGTATGGAAACCAGCGCCCTTCTTCTCCATAAGGCTGATGTTCACAATGTACCTGGCTGAGTGACCAGATCTGAGATAGACAAAGGTCGGAGGCCCGAGCTTGAAATTGCCGCTGAGCTCTTGCATCTTTTCCAGAACCACGGACCTAAAAACCCAAAAAGCCCCCAATCCCGCACTCTTTTCCAAGGCTTTTCCAAGGGCTTCCGGCCCTAAGGAGTTGCACCACTCCTCCACCTGCTTCGGGTTGTACTCCTTCACCGGGCCAAGCACCTCGGCCAGTCGGCCAGTCGGCCAGTCGGTCAGTCGGCTCCCGTCAAAAATTGTCTCGCCTGTTCAATGCACTGAGGCAGTCGAACATTGACCTGTGACAGACGGGCAACCACCCACCTAGCAAGGCACTCAGGCCTCGTCTTTTATTCGAGCAAAGGAAGTGATCGTGTCCTCACACATGCGTCTCCGAAAAAGCACGCCCTCCTCCCAGATCGAACCTCTCTTGGCATCTCGTTGGCCACTATAGCTAGGACACCCAACCCGTCGCTTCACTGAACTTTTTGACTTTACTTGAGGTTGGTTCTGGACATCACCGCTGAAGCTTGAGCCACAAGCAAGAGAAAATGCCGGCGAGCCAGCTAGGCTCAGTTTCCGAGAAGGTGCTCCGATCTCCGGGTGTGGGAAACGGGTTTGTGTCAAACAAGTTTGGACCCAGAAGTTGGACAAGGGCTGCCGTTCGGAGTTCGGGGTATGATTTGGCGCGGCCCTTTCCGGCGCTTCTCTACACCCTTGCCAACGGCGACCAAGCTGAAATATGCTGATGGATTGTGCAAACCATGTCTCTGGGGAGTCATCCCACTTGTGGTGTTGTGTCGATCTGTTTCCAGGGCCTTGTGACAGCTTGCCATGTGCGAAATGACAGCCAAGGACCAGGTGACAAACTGAAACAAACCACATGACAACACATGTATGTTAACCCATCGGGTCTCTACCAAACACTGTTGACACCGAGGCGCTAACACATCCTTTCCCCACCAAACACTGCAAACGCACATGCGCCAACCCGCGATACACCCGTTCTTCAAACGATTCCTGACAAATTTGTTCACTCGCGCTTGCCAATGTACCCGACAGCTGGAGGTCCCATGGCAGGAACGCCAAGCCAAAACTTGCACACGCATAAACGCGATAAACGCGATAAACGCGATCAACGCGAGACATGCGGATACATGCTAACGCGACGCGATTCGCAGAAACCGAATGCAAGTCGACTCGCATGCCTAACGCGAGTGCGGGATGCGGGCTTGCCCGGGTGGGCGCTGCTTCAGGGCTCTGGAGCGGATTGCCGCCGTGGACCCAACGGGAAAGGGGGAGGGGGGCAAGATGGGGCAAGGGGGGAAGGTTCGCATTTCTCACCGAGACGCAGCCATAACAAGCCTATTCAAGGGTGGCACGCTCACTGAACAACAAATACGTTGGTGATGATTGCCTGCTAGTGATTTTGAGGAGGGTGTGGTGATGCTCAGGATGCGTTGCGGTGATTCCTCATCATCAGCATCATCATAATCATGATTGTGGCCTTATCCTTGTGGCGTACGTTTCAAGTGTGCCTAGACCCGACCTGAGATGCAGGGGGTGCGTGGGGTAGTCATGAAAATCATCACTGCTGGCCTCATCATCATCCCTCATCCTCATCATCATCAACATCATCATCTGGGCTAGGCTTCAAAGAGAGGGCCCGGTGTGAACGGGGATGTTGGTAGCTGTCTATCAGAAGCGCCTGCCCTTGACACTGAAAAACGCAGGCTTTTCGTGGCTGAAGCCTGGGAAAACGCGAGGTTTCGAGGCTGGTAGCGTGGCAGCTGGCCCAGCGCCCGCTCCGCACAAAGCGCTCGCGCAAAGCGGGGAACCGAATGGAAGCGGAGACCTCAAACAGCCGAAAGATCCGCAAGACTTTTCGATGCTTCAAACCATGCGTCGCAGTGCCCGCGTCGGCTTGCGCGCGCTTGTGCGCCAATGGTGGTCAACATCCCCAGCATCATCATCTGCGTCCGTGGCAAGCATGGTTGCGGATGGCGCAAGGGATGCAGGGGATGTTGTCCAAAATCGAAAATGGATGGACAACTGAGTGGAACAAGGATGAACAAAGCATGGACAATGGATAAGATATGCGGGGAATATGTAAGCAACATGGATGGACAAAGGACGGAGAATGGATGGATTGAGTCGAAATTGACAATGGATGGAAAATGGATGGAGCACGTATGGGAAATGGATGGAACCCTCATGGAAAATGCATTGAACATGGATGACAATGGATTGAATGGACATGCAGGGAAATGAAGGGAGGTGGGGACGTGCCCGATGGGCGGCTGCGCGTCAGCGTGTAAATTGCCTTCAGAAACGCCATGTGCCCCCACGCGTCTATCCATTTTCTCTCTCCAGTCGTGGAGGGCTGCATTATCGCCTGGCAGGGCGCATGGGATGCACTCGTCGAAGCTTCAACTCGAGCTGTATGGAAAAACAAATCCGGAAGGGAGGTTCGTCACGCCCTGTCAAGCTTGGTTCTGCGTGCTTGTCTTGATTGAAAGAAGCGAAAGAAGCGAAAGCCTGTGCAGGCAAGCGATGGCAAGCGCTCAGTCAAAGCAGTTCCACGAGGAGTCAATGGGCAGAGCCTTGGAGTCAGCCGATTTCCCAATGAGAGGACAAACCTATAGCCATGGAATCTGATAGTTTGGTTTTAGATACTGATAGTTTCAATTTTTGGGGTTGGTGTTATGAAGAATTTGTTTGGGAGTGTATATGCAGGATGTTCAAAATTTCAAGTCAATTTTCGTGCCCTAGGCCTACCAAATTCAAACCAGGCCCAAGCATGTCAACTCAATGTGACGGGGGACAAAGTACTACTTACAACAACATGCCCAGCCACATGCCCAGTTGGATGCAGTCCTGGTGAAGCAGTGACAGGTTGAGCCTTGCATTTTAAATCATGCCTGCTTCCAAAAATATAGCTTGCGCTACATTATCCCATGACAACATTGTTCAATACTGATAACAAATTTTGGCACACTCGGGTGGAGCCGAACCATCATTTTCTCTGCTGGTTCATCAGCAGCTGCTGGGGCTGACGATCCAGAAGCAGTGCCTTGGCAGGCCACTGGCACAAGTGCAAAGGATTCTAATTTGGCAGAAATTCAAGATTAGCACTGTTCCTGAAAATGCAAGATGCAAAGTTGAAAGGAACTGGTGGTGCTGGGGATGCTGGCTATAATGGAGCGGTGGACTTGACCCACCATCATCTACTCTGGTGATGGACTCCGTTTGCCTACTCAGAGTGACGCCTTATCCATTAGTAGAGTGGCCAGGTGGTATTCAAAAGGCCACACTGGCTATAGGGGTGGAGCCACTATCATTGTCTAAAAAAGGCAGTGTTACACAATTTGTTCGTGTCCATCATGGACAATCTGAAAGGGTGGGTTGAACTTGCAATGTTCAAGTTATTTGCTCAAACATATTGGTTGAGTTAGCAATACGCATTCTCATCACTGGTTGAAATGTTGTGTTTGTGATTCACTATGCAAGCATCCGAACAGAAGCAGATTCCAATCAATGAGGGAATGAGTTGGAGAATGTGTTCAGCTCATCAATTTATATTGGGCCCTGGGGTCGGTTTCCTTCCCTGCACATGGTGTTCACATGCTTGAGGCCAGAGAAGAACATATTGCTACATGTGATTTGTGCCAGGTGATGCCTTAAACTTAACTTATATTTGCTAGATCAAAGATGTGTTGAGTATCAAAGGCATCACCAGGACAAATCACATGCCCTGCCAATCCAGGCCCCAGCATGTCAACCCTGTGACAGGGAAAGAAAATACATATGTACAACATGGCTTGTCACATGTTCAGTTGGATGGAACTTTGGTCCACTGGCTACAAGTTGAGCCCCTCATCAAACAACCACGCATGATTGTACATTTGGAAGTGAAGTAACATGTTTTTCTTTGTGAATGAACTTTGAAAAACAGCCTACTATTAGTGTGCAACATGGACAAACTGGAAGGGTGGCTTGCAATGTTCAAAGCACCCGTTTGCATACTCATTTTTCCACTGGTTGAAACGAACTTGTTCAAGGTATACAAGCATGTCCAACCAATGTTAGAATGAGCCTGCCATTAAGGGGCCCTTGCCTGCACATGATGTTGCATGCTTGAGGCCAGGGTAGCACATATTCACCTTAGGTTTATTGGTTCATGTGATTTGTGCCAGGTGATGCCTTTTACTTCTTACTAGATGCGTAATGCTTAAATATCCACCAAGGTCCAAGGCATCACCCGGACAAATTCCATGACCTGCCGAATCAGGCCCAAGCATGTCAACCCTGTGACAGGGAATGAAGAATCTTAAAGGGAATTTTCAATATGCAGCCACATGCGCAGTTGGATGCAGCCCTGGTCGACTGGCTACAGGTTGAGCCCCCAATCAAACCTTTGACTCTTTGTTTGAATGTAAGAAGTTATTACCTTTGTGAATGGGCTGTGTCACACAATTTGTTCGTGTCCAGCATGGACAAACTGAAAAGGTGGGTTGAAGTTGCAATGTTCAAAGTGTTTGCTCAAACGTATTAGTTGAACTAGTAACTCATTCTCATCACTGGTTGAAACGTTGTTTTTGTGATACTACTGGTTACTACACAAGCATCCGAACTTAAGCAGACTCCAACCAACAAGGGAATGAGTTTGAGACTGAATTCAGATCATAAATTTGTAGCGGGGCTTGCAAGTCACCCTTCCAGTTTGTCCATGTTACACACTAACAAAGTTTGTAACACAGCTCATTCTCAAAAAGCAGACATGTTACTTTCAAATGTAGAATCATGTGTGATTGATTTAATGAGGGGCTCAACTTGTAGCCAATGGGTCATGTGACAAGCCATGTTGTACATATGTATTTTATTCCCTGTCACAGGGTTGACATGCTTGGCAGGCGATGGAATTTGTCCTGGTGATGCCTTTGGTACTCAAAACATCTTTGATCTAGCAAATATAAATTAAGTTTAAGGCATCACCTGGCACAAATCACATGTAGCAATATGTTCTTCTCTGGCCTCAAGCATGCGAACACCATGCAGTGTTTCCTGACTGGCTGAAATACAAGCATGTGAAATGAAAATGAAGTGCATTTCAACCAAAGAGGGAATTTGAATGAGTGTTACATTTTCCAAGTTGCCCTTCAGATTTGTCGTGTTGAGTTGCGGCTGGTCACCTCAGCGAAGCGAACCGCAGCGCATCCAGGCTGGAAGGAAGGGCTGGGCTGGGCTTGCTGGATGATTTGAACAGCTCCCTAGAATGGATGCCACCATCAACCAATTGTTGCATCATTGCCCATGCTAGAAATCAGCCCGCGCATGTAGCAGGTGTTTGGCAAGTGGTTCAAGATGCCTGCCCCTCTAGTACCCTGGGCCCATTGATCTGAAGCCCGAAAAAAACAAACTGCAAACAAAAATGACGGCGCCTGTCAGTTCCAGGAATGTTAGTTGCTTGCAGATCAGTTGGTGCCTCTCATGCAAGCAGGCAGTCAGACCTCAAGACCCAATGTGGGCAATGCGGGGCACTTGCCTTGATCCCCTCGCTCATCGCCCTTGATTGACTTCAGTACCCATTGAACAAGGGCTAGCATGGGCATGGACTTTGTTTCTGCCTTGTGGGACACATGAATCCAGATGGAGCAGCTGGCTCAATGACACAATGTGGCAAGGCTGCAGGTGGAGCAAGGTGGCAAAGCCGCAGTACAAGGTGGAGCAACACGTGCGCAAACACAAACCCCCACATGAACACACTAAAGAGCATGCAACACGTCTGCACGCGCGTGCCATATTTTGAGCATAGACCCGGAGCACTTCCAGCATTCTTGAAAGACACGTCCTGGACAGCCATTTGACTCGACGAACATTTGCTACTTGACGCACGCGGGCAGTTGGCATCATCATTGTGGACATCTTCGTCATCATCATCATCTTCTTCACTCATCAACTGTGGGCTTCATGATCATATTTGCTGGCCCGGCGTAGATTTGGAGAACTATGAAGAGAAAAAGCCAGGCGTCATCTACACCTAGCCAGGCATTGCCAAGGCACAGGCCAACCAGATCGATCTTTGTCCACAGGTCGGTGGCGGCTGAGCTTTGTGCCACGCTGGGTGGCAGGATTGCCCAAGGGCCAGCGGAGGACAACTTCATGGATGGCATGGTGGAGATCATCTACCACTCCATGATGGATGAGCCGGTGGAGCCGGAGCCGGTGGAGCCGGAGCCAATGGAGCCGGTGGAGCCGGAGCCGAGCTCATCATCAAAGAAGCCTGAGCGCTGATGCGCTCAGCTGACGTTGGGTGAGTGGGTGAAAAAAAGCATGTCAACCATGTGCGGAGTCAGCATTTGGAATCATTGTTTGAATTTGATTCTGATGCAGTCACATTTAATTTGCACTTGGTAGTGTTACTGGATTCCCTCACAGCTTGTTGGTAGCATTGAAGCATTCAGTTCCTCTCACCTGTACTTCCCCTTGCCCTGTTTCCTCAGCCCAGCCTTGCTTGGTCAGGCGCCAGCGGCCAGAATGCCAGCCTGGCACACAGGGGCAGGGTGAGTCAGGAAGAATCATCATGCTTGATGCCATCAGTCCTGTCCTTGTTAGCATTGGCACAATCATGGCTAACAACATCATGAGTACCATATGCTTGCCCTGCTCTCATGCAGGAAGATACATGCCGTTGCACAAACATATTCAGTTCACAATTATTTCCCATTGCTGTTCACATTACAAAATGCATTTGCAGTCCAGACAACCATGGTCATCATGAATGTAACATTGCCATCATCATCATTGTTGTCATCATCAACATCATCACCAGTAGCATCAGCACCATAATCATCATCATCACCCTCATCCTCATCAAGGTATCATTGTCACCATCATCATCATCATCATCACCATCATCACCATCATCATCATCATCATCGTCATCGTCATCGTCATCGTCATGGTCATCGTCATTGTCACTGTCATCGTCATGATCATCACCAGCATCAGCATCAGCATCAGCATCATCATCATCATCATCATCATCATCATCACTATGATTGCCGCAACCACCATGATCATCACCGTCATCATTGTCATCATCGTCATCATCATCATTCTCATCATCATCATCATCATCATCATCATCATCATGTTGCGCCCAAGTTGCACCCATGTTGCAAGGTGTCTGAGTCCATTTGGGCAGGAAAGAGGTTCCAACTGAATCAACTAGCTGATGGCATAACTAGCAGCGTGTTTCTACAATTGCCAGCTCCAAATTTGGTGTGCTGTCCCATGTACACACGTGCCTCAGGTGCCTACCACAGACAGCTCTCCCATCATTCTTCACTGGCCTGGCAGGGAGGCCAAGCTGGGGGCAAAGTCCTGTTTGTTGCACCTGTCATTGGGTCACTGGCAGTGCATTCTACTGTAAGTTCATACAAGTTTGTCTTTACTAAAAGTTGTTATATGCAACAAAACTGCCTTTACCCACTTGAACATGTTGCCTCAACTCCACTTGCGCTAGCAGTTTGGGCTTGGTGTCAGCTTTTTGTAGTTTGGTGGCTTTTGATTTGGAGCTGCAATGGCTGGCACTGAGCTG